CTACCACTACTACGATTACTACTACTACTACTACTACTACTACTACTACTACTACTACTACTACTACTACTACTACTACTACTACTACTACTACACAAACACTCGCATCACTAGCACGATCGCTAATGCGACTGCTACGGCTATTACGAGTAGTACCTTTCTAATTACCACCATTGCTTAGCAGTAGTTGTCGTCGTAGTAGTAGTAGTAGTAGTAGTAGTAGTAGTAGTAGCAGTAGTAGTAGTAGTAGTAGTAGTAGTAGTCGTAGTCGTAGTCGTAGGAGTGGTAGTAGTAGTAGTAGTAGTAGTAGTAGTAGTAGTAGTAGTAGCAGTAGTAGGAGTAGTAGTAGTTCTTGTACTGGTTGTATATGTTTGGTTGTAGTAAGAGTATCGTAGTCGTAGTAGTAGTGCTCGTCGTCGTCGTCGTAGTAGTAGTCGTAATAGTAACAGTTGTACCCGTAGGAACAGTAGTTGTAGCTGTAGTCGTTGTAGTAGAAGTAGTCGTAGTATTAGCAGTACTAGTAGTAGTAGTAGTAGTAGTAGTAGTAGTAGTAGTAGTAGTAGTAGTAGTAGTAGTAGTAGCAGTAGTAGTAGTAGTAGTAGTAGTAGTAGTAGTAGTAGTAGTAGTAGTAGTAGTAGTAGCGGTAGTAGTAGTAGTAGTAGTAGAAGAAGAAGAAGAAGTAGTACTAGTAGTAGTGGTGGTAGTAGTAATACGTAGCACCCCGCAGTTGCAGATAAGAGTGAGGGGGCGGGCGCGGGCGACGCGGGCGTTGAGCCGGCGGACCTCGTGGCCCTCACCTTCCCTGTCGATGGCGCCCTCCTCCTCCTCCTCCTGCTCCTCCTCCTCTTCCTCGTCCGCGTCATCGTCCTCATCGTCGTCGTCGTCGTCTTCGTCCGCCTCCTCCTCCTCCTCCTCCTCCTCCTCCTCTTCCTCCTTTTCCGCCTCGTCGTCCTCCTACTCCTCCTCCTCTTCCTCCCCCATCCCGATCCTCCCCCCTCCTCCTTTCCGTTGTCGTCGTCCTCCTCCTCCTCCCCCTCCTCCTCCCTCCTTTCTCGTCGTCCCCCTCCGTCCCCCCCTCCTTTTCTTCCTCGCCCTCGTCGTCGGCCTCCTCTTCGTCCTCGTACTCGTCGTCGTCGTCGTCGTCGTCTTCCTCCTCCTGCTCCTCGCCCTGCTCCTCCTCCCCTCCTCCGCGGAGCGCGCGCGCGCCGGGGGGTGGGTCGCGGGCTTGTTCAGTGAACGTAGTTTGGGTCGCGGGTGGGTCGCGGGCTCTCCATGTCCACCTGGAAGGAATTCCAAAACAGCCCGCCGCAGGCGCCGAAGATTTTGATTTGTACACTGAACGCGGTTTGGGTCGCGGGTGGGTCGCAAGTTCCCCACCTGGAACAAATGCAAAACAAACCCGCCGCAGGCGCCGACAATTTTGGGTGGGTCGCGGGGTGGTTCGCGGGTGGGTCGCGGGTGGGTCGCGGGTGGGTTGCGGTGGGTCAAGGGGTGGGTCGCCGGTGGGTCGCGGGTGGGTTGCGGGTGGGTCGGGGGTGGGTCGCCGGGGGGGTCTCGGGGTGGGTAGCGGGTGGGTCGCGGGGTGGGTCGCGGGTGGGTCGCGGGGGGGGTCGCCGGGGGGGTCGCGGGCCGGGTCGCGGGTTGGTCGCGGGGTGGGTCGCGGGTGGGTCGCGGGTGGGTCGCGGGTGGGTCGCGGGTGGGTCGCGGGGCGGGTCGCGGGTGGGACGACGACAGCATCAAACAACTAACAACTAACAACTAACAACAACAACAACAACAACAACAACAACAACAACAACAACAACAACAACAACAACAACAACAATTACTAGCACGTGGGGACACTCCGTTCTCACCAGTGCCAGGGTTTTCATAGGAGGCGGGCAATACCCCCACTTTGTGGGGGGGCCGGTTCAAGCTCTACCAAATTTCCAAACGACTCTTCGCCACCACCCACACCCAGCTTCCCGCCCTATGACGTTCGGACACTTCACTTCGTGGCATGCGGACGACCGTGGCTACTATTCAGGGCCCCGCGGCCGACGACGACGGCGTGCGCGCGCGAAGAAAAAACGAATGTGTCCCACATGGTATTATTTGACAGGGATGATGGCCCTGGCAGGCGCGCAACCTTTGTTGCAGAAGTTCGAAGCACGTGAAAAAGTTGCTCGCAAGAGCCCGTTTGACAGAAATGTTGAAAAAGTATTGGGTTTCCTAAGAAATCCGCAAGAGCGCGCGGGGTGAATTGTTGAAACCCTTTTTTTGAAAAACCATTGGGTTTTTCATGTTTTTATATGAAAATCGCTACGAAGACTAAGGTTTTGGAAGGATTTCGTCTTGCGCGCGCAAATGTGCACTTCGTGCCATTTTTTGCAAGGGATTCTTGAAGTTTGGTCATGTTAGAACAAGAAATGTCCACTTTGCCCTATTTTTTGCAAGGGAAAACCGATCGTAACAACACAACCGGATCTGGACCACATCGTTTTGCCTGAGGCTTCCTCACGAAAATTATGAAAATGAGGCTGCGGCCTAGGCGCGGCGGGGGGGGCGCGCACCAGGGGCCCCAACAATCATTATTCTCTAGAATTAATAATGTTCAACAACAACAACAACAACAACCATCAACAACAAGAAGAACAGCAACAGCAACAGCAACAGCAACAGCAACAACAGCAAGAACACCAACAACAGCAGCAACAACAAATAACAACAACAACAACAACAACAACAACAACAACAACAACAACAACAACAACACCAATAATCCGCATCGCGGAATTCCACTTCAGCCACGCACCCAGGGACAGTGAATGACCGTTCGGTTCAGTCCCCTCACTCTGATGAGTAGTACTACGTGTAGCAGCAGCAGCGGCAGTGGTAGTACTAGTGGTGTTAGTAGAACCAACGGTGGTCTTGTCGGTCTTGCCATTTCCCCTCCATCAGGCTGCCGAGGCAACGCCTCCAGGGTGACGGAAGTGCTATCCTTTTGCTTGGCGAATGGGGGTTCTTAACAAGTTCTTCGGGCATGCGACGTGCCCAGTCCGTTCGCAGAAACAATTTGCAACGAGCGACAATATTGAATGGCACACGTTCCCGCGTGAAAGGTACACAGAATGCTTGTGCGCGGGACGCCCCGCGGGACTTGCACGAGGCAGTACCGAAATAATTGAAACGGGCGGCGAGGGACAGAAAGACGACAGAAAGGAGTAGGAAGGAGTACAGTACGCGGCCACCCCTGAGCGGCGGCCCGCGCGACGACGACGAAGGTTGCCGCCGCCGCCGCCGCCGACGACGACGACGGCGACGACCACAACAAATGACGACGACGACGGTGACGACGACGGACGACCTCAACCGACGACGACGACCAACGACAGCGGCTGCGACCACGGACCACGACGACGACCAATGACGACCATCGCCGCCACAACCGACGGCGAGGAGCAACAACAAAGGCAACCGCGACCGACGACGACGGCCACGACCAGTGACGCGACAACGGCACCGACGACCGACGACGACGGCGATTGGCGACGACGACGACGAATGACGACGACTACCCAGGACCGACGACGATGGCCGACGATGACGACAGACGACACCCAACGACGACCAACGACGGCGACAACGACCGACGACAACGGCAACGAAGACGAACCGACGACGATAACCGAAGACGGCGACCAACGACAGCGGACAACGACGACGACTGCCTCCGCCGACGAGGACCCGCGACAACCACGACGACGACGACCGCCACCACCACCGCTGCCCAAAATCGACGACTGGGACCACGACCAACGACCAACGACGACCGAAGACGACCACCACCACTACCACGACCGACCGACGAATGCGGAGCTGGGCCCTGGGTCCAGGACCCGTTTCCCTGGGGACCCGTGTTCTTGTCATGCCAATTTGGGAGGAGGAGGAGGAGGAGGAGGCGGAGGAGGAGGAGGAGGAGGGGGAGTAGGAGGAAGGAGAGGGGGAGGGGACAAGTTATGTGCGCTCGCGTCATATCTGACGTCCTACCCCTCCCTCCCATCCCTTACCATGGCGCTGATTTTCTCTATCCGCGGACGCGTGTCGTAGCGGACCTGTGGTTCCGCGCGCGCGTGCGTAGTGGGTGGTGGTGCGCGTGCGTGCGTGCGTGCGTGTGTGGTTGTGGTTGTGGTGGTGGTGTTTGTGGTGGTGGTGGTGGTGGTGGTGGTGGTGCTGGTGTGTGTGTGTGCGTGTGTGCGCGTGTGCTGTGGTGTGACGTGGTGTGGCGTCTTGGTGGTTTGATGGTGGGCCAGGTGCGTGCGTGCGTGATGGCGGTGGTGGTGGTGGCTGGTGGTGGTGGTGGTGGTGTGTGTGTGTGTGTGCGTGTGTATGTGTGTATGTGTGTGTGCGTGTGTATGTGTGTATGTGTGTGTGTGCGTGCGTGCGTGTGTGTCTGTGTGCGCGCGCGTGTGATGTGGTGTGACGCGGTGTAGCGTGGTGGTGGTGGGTGGGGTAGTGGGGTGGTGGTGGCGGTGCGCGTGCGTGCGTGCGTGCGTGCGTTGGTGGGTGGAAGTGGCGGTGGGCGGGGCGGGGCGCGGTGCGGTGGTGGCGGGCGGATGGGCGCGCGAGAAAGAGGCCCGCGCTGGGGCGAGAACGCCATCCTGAACGACGGAGGCAAAAGACCGATCCGAAAATGAGACCCACGCTGCAGCGGGAGCACGATTCGGAACGAGCGGGGCCCGAAAATGAGGCCGGCGCCTCAGCGAGAGCAGCATTTTGACAAACAAATGCAGGCGAAAACCCAACTCCCAGGAATCCTGTGTGTAAAGAAGCAGGACGCGGGGGGGGGGGGCGAACTCTCCCAGCACGTCATCAGGGGAAGAGGGAGAGTAGTATTCATATTGAGTAATTGTGGAGGAGGGAAAGGGCGAGGGGAGGGGAGGAGGAGGAAGAGGGGGCAACGACGCCGACGTCGGCGTCCCCGCCGCCGACGACGGCGAAGACCCCGGGCTCCTCGCAGGGGCGCGCTGTACCACGGCGTGCTCGTGGTCCACGTCGCGGGGGTGCCGTGGGCGAAGCGCGCCAAGTGGCTGATGCCGCTGCGCTGGGCCGTGGCGGCCGTCTTGCAGAGGCCGCCCCTGGCGGCTCGGGCGACCGTCGGGGGGGCTCGTCGGTGGCCTCCGGCGGCCGGGCCGCGGAGCCCGTGCTGCAGAGGCCAGCGTGAGCGACGGGGGAAACACGGAAAGGTCTTCATCGACACTGGCGCGCGAGCTGCCCGCGTAAGGTCGCGCGTGAGCGCCCTCGCTCCCAATCCAGCGTGCAGTGCCGGCGGCCCGCGTGAGCCGCCGCGTCAGGTCGTCATGCCATTTCGCGCAAGACCCCCCTTGTCCTTTTCGCCGCTCAAGTGGTGCCTTCTCTAGCGCCGCACGCGGTCCCGATGCGGACTCGACGTGGGCCTGGCGTGGGTTCGACGCGGACGCGAAAAGCGGATGCGACGAGGCCGACGCAGATTCGACATTGATGCGACGCGGATATGGAGTGCCGACGGGGCAGGCGAGGCCCTCCGATGATGCAGCATTGCGAGCTCAGCTGCCTCGATGGGCCCGTTCTGATACGCAACACGTGCCGTGCTCAAACCGGCCGTGTCAGTAAGTTGCGTGTTGGCTCAACGGATTGGGCCACGTTTTTGCGAACGTATCGCGTCAGACTTGCGCTTGCAGCCTACGTGTTGAGTTCCGTATCAATACGCTCCGTATACGGGGCAGCCAAGCGCCAGAGTAGTGTGGGCACTTTCTCTGGCCTCCTGGGGCATTTGCCGCGCGTTTGGACCCATCGCGAAAACTATTCGGAATGAAAGCTGGTCCCAAGGGGTCGAGATTCCAGCCCGACGGCAACGACCCAGACCCCCGACGTCATGTTTTTTTTCATGACGTCGACCCACAGGGGTCTCGACCCATTCCTCGGGACTGGTCTTTCGTCCGGCGTCGTCTTTTGGCGGCCCCGCGGCACGGCGAGTGCCCACAGAGGCCGATGATAGCGAAAACCCTCCCGTCGTGATTTCTGTTCAGTCAGGAGGGAACAAAACACACACAGACACAATGAATCGTCGGTTCCCCAGAAAACATTGGAAAATATGGGAAGTGTGGGGGAAGACCCAAGCCCAGAAAAAAGACGGGAAAATCTGGGGGACCCCTTTCTTTGTGTGTATTCGTTTGCGTGCCCCAGGGCCCCCTTCAGAGCCGTCGCCGTCGTGGCTCCCCTGCGCCCAGGGGGCCTCTGTGCAGCCGCCGAGGGTGTGCTCGGCGCGCCTCGTCGGGGGGGCCTCCTCGGGGCCGCCGGGAGCGCCCCGAGGCGGCCCCCCCGGGGGGGGCCGAGCGGGAGCCCGAGGGCCGAGGGGGCGAGGTGCAGCGGAAGCCGGGGCCTCGGTGTCGTTCGGACGGGTGCACTTTTTTTCTCGGCGGGGATATAAGTAAGGAGCATCCTGGATCATCCTGCAAAAAAGCCACGCACGAAACCGAACCAGAACACTGGGAACGGGCGTCCGAGCGATGGCGAGGAGCGTGTACATGGCCAGTGGCGGGTGGTTCTTGAATCCCCGGATTTTTCGAGGGTCGGGGGACGACGTCGGGGTGGTGTGGTGTATACCCGTTTTCCCGTGTTCTTGGGGAGGCAACGGAAAGTGTGTATACACGTCCCGTAATTATGCACCGGGGTCCGCTGTGCAGTGCAGATTTCAGTGCAGGGCCGGAAAAAGCGGCGGCGCACAGAGTGCGGTTCCCTGGTTCACAGTTCTCGAGTAGGGGATCGATTTCAGAACGATTCGTCGACTCCACATGGGACGCGTACAGTTTCCGTAGACCTGCGAGAACGATGCGCATGTCTGGTACACCCGGCGAGAAGAGGGCTTTTGGGGTAGATCCATCCTGTAGTCGATCTTCTACTCGAATTTCGGGGGTCGCGAAAAGGTGCACCAGAGAAGACACTAAGCGATGACTCCAGTGTAACATGTAGAGACAGGGGGCGGGTGGTAGCGGGCGAGAGCCGCGGATGGCGAGTGTCGTTATCTCGGTTGTTTTCTACTATTCTTCTCTCGGTGCAGCTGGTTGGTCACATGAGAATGCCTCCATCCCTCGCGGACCTGACACGGCTGGATCTGGCCCAGGCAGTCTATGTTGCCATAGTTTCTTTTTTGTCGAGTGGCAATCATAAATGCGAACTCGCATCATTCGGCGTGTAAAGCCGTATCCGGCCCAGATGTCTCATACATTGGTAATGCTATGCGGTTGTTGTTTTATGCAATTTAAGAGTCCAACCGAAAAAAACACAATGCGGGCCAGAGGCGCGTGCGCGCGTCTCAGGCTTTGGTGAACACATCTCGTGCCATCGATGCGTGAACATATACAGCTATCAAGTGGCCCTCGCCCATCCCGCCACCGAGCATGGATTGTAGGTCAGAGTTCTCAGGGATGTTTCTTCGGGTCTCTTAGGAGCGCTCTCGGGGGCCTGTCAAGGGAGGAAATCACCTGGACCCGACAGTTGGTGTTTCTCAAACGGCCCTGGGCGTTTACTATACAAACCTCCCCTGTTCGATTCCTTCTGTGGGTGCGTTGGCTAAACGGTTTCGCGTGTCGGGGTGATCATTCTGGGGATAGATTTTCTGCCCTCCATCTTGGGAGCAATTTTGTGGCCTCTTGGGGTATCCTTGGGGCGTCTTGAAGCCTCTTTCTTGGGGGCGCCGGCGGGGCGGGCCTTAGAACAGAAAGCTCGGATTTTCGTTTCGCGTTCCCTTTTGTTTTATGTGTATATGCAGCACCCCGCAGTTGCGGATGAGAGTGGGGGGGCGGCCGCGGGGTGTGTTGCGGGTGGGTCGCGGGGTGCGTCGCGGGTGGTTCGCGGGTGGTTCGCGGGGTGGGTCGCGGTTGGGTCGCGGGTGGGTCGTGGGTGGGTCGCGGGTGGGTCGCGAGTGGGTCGTGGTTGAGCCGAGGCTGGGTCGCGGCTGGGTCGCGGGCCGTGTCACGGGTGTGTCGCGGGCCGGGTCGCGGGTGGGTCGAGGGCCAGGTCGCGGATGGGACGGTGGCAACATCAACCTTAGCAACACCAGCAACAGTGACAACAAACAGCAACAACCAACAACAACAACAACAACAACAACAACAACAACAACGCAGCAACAATCCGCGCCGCGGAACCCCACTTCGGCCACGCACTCTGGGACAGTGAATGACCGTTCGGCCCTCCTGTTCTTTGATGCACACATATATTTATATATGTATATGTGTATCTATATATAGTAGTATATGTATATATATATCAGAGTGAGGGGGCTGAACCGAACGGTCATTCACTGTCCCTGGGTGCGTGGCTGAAGTGGAATTCCGCGATGCGGATTCTTGTTGCTGTTGTTGTTGCTGTTGCTGTTGCTGCTGCTGCTGCTGCTGTTGTTGTTGTTGCTGTTGTTGTTGTTGTTGTTGTTGAACATTATTACTTCTAAAGAATAATTATTGTTGGGACCCCTGGTACACGACCCCCCTCCAAAACCTAGGCCGCAGCTACATTTTCATCATTTTTTCGCGAAAGCTTCAGAAAAGTGGATTAGTACCGGATCCGGTTGTTTTGTTCCCCCCCGTTTTCCCTTGCAAAAAACACTATAAAATGAAATTTCTTGTTCAAATGTAATCCAATTTCAAGAATCCCTTGCAAAAAATAAGCTAAAGTGGACATTCGCGCGTGCAAGACGAAATCCTTCCAAAACCTTAGGTTTCGGAACGATTTCAACATAAAAACATCAAAAACCCAATGGTTTTTTAAATAAAAAATTGTCAAAATCTCATCCCGCGCGCTCTTGCGGATTCGTAGGAAACCCAACACTTTTTAAACATTTCTGTCAAACGGGCTTTTGCGAGCAACTTTTTCGAACTTCTGCGACAACGGTTGCGCACCTGCCAGGGCCATCATCCCTGTCAAATAATACCATGCGGGACACATTCGTTTTTTCTTCGCGCGCGCACGCCGTCGTCGTCGGCCGCGGGGCCCTGAATAGTAGCCACGGTCGTCCGCATGCCACGAAGTGAAGTGTCCGAACGTCATAGGGCGGGAAGCTGGGTGTGGGTGGTGGCGAAGAGTCGTTTGGAAATTTGGTAGAGCTTGAACCGGCCCCCCCACAAAGTGGGGGTATTGCCCGCCTCCTATGAAAACCCTGGCACTGGTGAGAACGGAGTGTCCCCAGTCTAAGTGATTGTTGTTGTTGTTGTTGTTGTTGTTGTTGTTGTTGTTGTTGTTGTTGTTGTTGTTGTTGTTGAATTCTCATTTCTGACGAATAATTATTGTTGATCCCCCCACCGGTGCATACTGTTTTTCTCAATCAAAGTGTGCCCCTCGACGCTCGCACCCTGTTTTTTGACAGGGAAAATCTTCCTGCTCAAACTGGGCCCCTGGCCCCCGGGTTACAACAACAACGGCTCCCGCTTGAGACTTCCTTACAGTTTAACCAGGACCCCCGCTCCCGCCCGAGATTTCTTCGCATTTTATTCAGGAATCGCACTCTCGCTTGGGACATCCTGACAATTTGTTAAGGAATCGCTCTCCCGGCGCTCTGGAGTCGCGCCCTCGCTGGAGACTTGCTTGCAATTTACTGAAGAATAGCCTTGCGTTGAAATTATTGGTAATTTGCCCAAGCGCCGCGCTCCCGACACCCAGGCACCCAGGAGTCGCGCCCGTTGTGGCCCCATGTGCATGGCCTTCGTGGCCCCGCTGTCGCCATTTGTGTCCCCCTCACTGTCCTACGTGGCCCAGTTGCTACCCTCAGTGGCCCCATAGTTGCCTTCTGTGGCCCCGCATTATCTGCACTTCGTGGCCCCCGCTCGTTCGCGCTCTTCGTGGCCCCATACGCATTCCCTTCGTGTCCCCGCTGTCGCCCTTCGTGGCCTACTTCGTGCCCTTCGTGGCCCTGCTGTCGTTCTCTCTCGCTCTCGCTTTCGCTCGTCGTCGCCGTCGTCGTCGTCGTCGTCGTCGCCGTCGTCGTCGTCGTCGTCGTCGTCGTCGTCGTCGTGGTCGGTCCCCTGTCCGTCCCTCTTGGGGTCGGGTCGACGGTCCGCGGCCGCCCCGCCGATCAGCGCTGCCGCTGGCCAGGCCGACGGTCCGCGGCCGCCCCGCCGCTTGCCGGGGCCCGGCCTGCAGGGAAGAAAGGTATACCCCCCAAAAGGGGTTCGATCGAAGACGAAGAGGGCGGGTATCGAGGGTTTGGGAAATACGCGTTATTGGACACTCGAGCATACAAGGGCGAACAGTCTTAAAATTATTGTTGTTGAACATTATTTATTCTAAAGAATAATTATTGTTGGGCCCCCTGGTGCGCGCCCCCCCTGCGCCGCCTAGGCCGCAGCTGCATTTTCATCATTTTCGTGAGGAAGCCTCAGAAAAGAGGGTGTGTACAGGATCCGGTTGTTTTGTTGTAATCCGCTTTCCCTTGCAAAAAACAATAGAAAATGACATTTCTTGTTCTAATATAATCAAATTTCAAGAATCCCTTGCAAAAAATAAGGTAAAGTGGACATTCGCGCGCGCAAGACGAAATCCTTCCAAAACCTTAGTGTTCGCAGCGATTTTAACATAAAAACATCAAAAAACCAATGGTTTTTCAACAAAAAATTGTCAAAATCTCATCCCGCGCGCTCTTGCGGATTCGTAGGAAACCCAACACTTTTTAAACATTTCTGTCAAACGGGCTTTTGCGAGCAACTTTTTCGAACTTCTGCGACAACGGTTGCGCACCTGCCAGGGCCATCATCCCTGTCAAATAATACCATGCGGGACACATTCGTTTTTTCTTCGCGCGCGCACGCCGTCGTCGTCGGCCGCGGGGCCCTGAATAGTAGCCACGGTCGTCCGCATGCCACGAAGTGAAGTGTCCGAACGTCATAGGGCGGGAAGCTGGGTGTGGGTGGTGGCGAAGAGTCGTTTGGAAATTTGGTAGAGCTTGAACCGGCCCCCCCACAAAGTGGGGGTATTGCCCGCCTCCTATGAAAACCCTGGCACTGGTGAGAACGGAGTGTCCCCACGTGCTAGTAATTGAACATTATTTCTTCTAAAGAATAATTATTGTTGGGACCCCTGGTGCACGCCCCCCCGCCGCGCCTAGGCCGCAGCCACATTTTCATCATTTTCGTGAGGAAGTCTCAGGCAAAACGGGGTATACCAGATCCGGTTGTTTTGTTGACGCCCGCTTTCCCTTGCAAAAAACACTATAAAATGAAATTTCTTGTTCTAACATAACCAAACTTCAAGAATCCTTTTCAAAAAATGATACGAAGTGCACACTCGCGCGCGCAAGATGAAATCCTTCCAAAACCTTAGTTTTCGTAGCGAATTTAACATAAAAACATGAAAAACCCAATGGTTTTTCAAAAAAAAAGTTTCAAAAATTCATCTTGCGCGCTCTTGCGGATTTCTGAGGAAACCCAATATTTTTTCAACATTTCTGTCAAACGGGCTCTTGCGAGCAACTTTTTCACGTGCTTCGAACTTCTGCAACAACGGTTGCGCGCATGCCAGGGCCATCATCCCTGTCAAATAATACCATATTGGACACATTCGTTTTTTCTTCGCGCGCGCACGCCGTCGTCGTCGGCCGCGGGGCCCTGAATAGTAGCCACGGTCGTCCGCATGCCACGAAGTGAAGTGTCCGAACGTCATAGGGCGGGAAGCTGGGTGTGGGTGGTGGCGAAGAGTCGTTTGGAAATTTGGTAGAGCTTGAACCGGCCCCCCCACAAAGTGGGGGTATTGCCCGCCTCCTATGAAAACCCTGGCACTGGTGAGAACGGAGTGTCCCCAGTCTTAATGATTGTTGTTGTTGTTGTTGTTGTTGTTGAACATTATTAATTCTAAAGAATAATTATTGTTGGGCCCCCTGGTGCACGGCCCCCCCTGCGCCGCCTAGGCCGCAGCTACATTTTCATCATTTTCGTGAGGAAGCCTCAGGTAAACGATGTCATCAAGATCCGGTTGTTTTGTTGTAATCCGTTTTCCCTTGCAAAAAACACTATAAAATGACATTTCTTGTTCTAATATAATCAAATTTCAAGAATCCCTTGCAAAAAATAAGGTAAAGTGGACATTCGCGCGCGCAAGACGAAATCCTTCCAAAAGCTTAGTGTTCGGAGCGATTTTAACATAAAAACATCAAAAAACCAATGGTTTTTCAACAAAAAATGTCAAAATCTCATCCCGCGCGCTCTTGCGGATTCGTAGGAAACCCAACACTTTTTAAACATTTCTGTCAAACGGGCTTTTGCGAGCAACTTTTTCGAACTTCTGCAACAACGGTTGCGCACCTGCCAGGGCCATCATCCCTGTCAAATAATACCATGCGGGCACATTCGTTTTTTCTTCGCGCGCGCACGCCGTCGTCGTCGGCCGCGGGGCCCTGAATAGTAGCCACGGTCGTCCGCATGCCACGAAGTGAAGTGCCCGAACGTCATAGGGCGGGAAGCTGGGTGTGGGTGGTGGCGAAGAGTCGTTTGGAAATTTGGTAGAGCTTAAACCGGCCCCCCCACAAAGTGGGGGTATTGCCCGCCTCCTATGAAAACCCTGGCACTGGTGAGAACGGTGTGTCCCCACGTGCTAGTAATTGTTGTTGTTGTTGTTGTTGTTGTCGTTTGTTGTTTGTTGTTTGTTGTTTGTTGTTTGTTGTTTGTTGTTGTCGTCGTCCCACCCGCGATCCGCCCCGCGACCCACCCGCGACCTGGCCCTCGACCCCCCCGCGACCCAGCCGCGACCCACCACGCGACCCACCCGCGACCCACCCCGCGACCCACCCGCGACCCACCCGCGATCCACCCGCGACCCAGCCGCGACCCAGCCTCGGCCCAACCACGACCCACTCGCGACCCACCCGTGACCCACCCGCGACCCACCCCGCGACCCTCCGCGACCCACCCGCGACCCACCCGCGAACCACCGCGACCCACCCGCGACCCACCTGACACTCACCCCGCGACCCACCCAAAATTTTCGGCGCCTGCGGCAGGTTTCTTTTGCATTCGTTCCAGGTGGAGAACCTGCGACACACCAGCGACCCAAACCGCGTCCGCGACCCACCCGCGACCCACCGCGACCCACCCGCGACCCACCCGCGACGCACCCCGCGACCCACCCAATATTTTCGGCGCCTGCGGCGGGCTTCTTTTGCATTCGTTCCAAGTGGAGAACCTGCGACCCACCCGCGACCCAAACCGCATTCAGTGTACAAATCAAGATTTTCGGCGCCTGCGGCGGGCTGTTTCTGAATTCCTTCCAGGTGGAGGTGGGGAGCCCGCGACCCACCCACGACCCAAACTACGTTCACTGAACAAGCCCGCGACCCACCCCCCCGGCGCGCGCGCGCGCTCCGCGGAGGAGGGGAGGGAAGCAGGACGAGGAGCAGGAGGAGGAAGACGACGACGACGACGACCACGACGACGACGAGTACGAGGACGAAGAGGAGGCCGACGACGAGGGCGAGGAGGAAAAGGAGGGGAGGACGGAGGGGAGGAGGAGGAAGACGACGACAACGAAAAGGAGGAGGGGGGAGGATCGGGATCGGGGAGGAGGAGGAGGAGGAGGAGGAAAAGGAGGAGGAGGAGGTGGAGGAGGAGTCGGACGACGACGACGACGACGACGATGAGGACGATGACGCGGACGAGGAAGAGGAGGAGGAGGAGGAGGAGCAGGAGGAGGAGGAGGGCGCCATCGACAGGGAAGGTGAGGGCCACGAGGTCCGTCGACGCCCGCGTCGCCCGCGCCCGCCCCCTCACTCTTATCCGCAATTGCGGGGTGCTACGTATGTGTGTGTGTATATATATATATATATATAGATGCATCTGCGTTTATATATATATATATACACGTCACTTTGCGCCATCCCCCTACGCTTTATCTGCGCCCTCTAGCTTCCGCGCTCTACTCTCTCCATCGCATCTCCAGTCATTGCTCTCCAATATCGGGGCTCGTCTTCCTGCACCCTGCCCCGTGCTTCTGTTACAATGTGATCCAAGTGTCGGCGCGCCCCCCTGCGCCCCGCGCATTAGCTTTCATGTCGCCATATCTGTACATTTACAGATCATGTGCATAATCCCGCCGTTGCACTTACACGCGCGACTTAGGCGCACGCGTCGATGCGGTGAGCGGGGCCTCATCACCGCTTCGGAAGAATCATGAAGCGATTTCGCCCGATGGACACAAGCCGTAGTACAGCGCCGCGTGTTCACAAGCATGGTACTGGTCATGTGTAAGTTCCGAGGGGCGTTCGGAGCTCGGCTCGTCGTTCTCGCCTCTGCGTGTGCAAGAGAAGGAGGAGAAAGAGAGAGGAGAGGAGTGAGAGAGAGAGAGAGAGAAAGAAAGAGCGACAGAGAGAGAGAGAGAGAGACAACACCTTCCGCCCATAATACGCGCGGTTCCAGGCGTGGCCTCCCCGCGAGAATTCAGAGCAGCAAGCTCCTCTTGACCGACGAGTTGACCGACTTCCACATGTGCGTCGACTTTGCGCCCTGCATCCGAGGGAGTCCCCCCCCTCGCGCGCGCACGCGCATCCTCCTCCTCTTCCCTCTCCTTCCCCTCATCATCTCTCTCCTTGTCCTTCTCCTGTTCCCAGGGTGCTGTCACTCCTCCTCCTCCTCCTCCTCCTCCTCCTCCTCCTCCTCCTCCTCCTCCTCCTCCTCCTCCTCCTCCCCCCTGTCCTAGAGCAGTCTCGTGTCCTGAGACGGAGGATTATCCTTCGGGTACCCGTTTCCCCGAGGGCAGTTTCCCGTCCTGGATCCGTTTGTGGTGGCCTTGGGGCTTGAGAATGTGACCCAGGAGCCCGAACTCCTCTTCCTCCTCCTCCTCCTCCTCTCAGGCAGCAGGCGGAAATGCACGGAGGTTTCACTCGCTTCTCGCGTGGGAATTTGAGCCCGGCATGTTGGGAAAGCCCGTCATCCATAGGCGAATACTTTGAACATTTGCTCGCGGAGTCCTGGGCCCCGCCAGGCATTGCCCGTGAGGCGTGGGACACGGCGACCCGTGCTGCACGGATCGAGATCCACAGCGCCCGGCTGGAGGCGAGACGTCCTCGCCCCCAGCGGATCCTAACTCGCTCTCTCACTTCCTCGCTCTTCCCCGACTCTTTCCCCTCCCTCCTTGCCCGAAGGATTCATGCGTGGCTCCCCCGTGACCCCCAGATCCCCGTAGCGAAGCTCGGGCGGAGCTGGGAGGCGCTCCGATCCATCCTAACTCGGTCTCCTCCTTCGTGGGTTTGGGCACACATCAAGACATTGTCCGGCGGATGGACCACGTCCGCACGAATTCCGCGCGCTACGGAGTGTCAGTGTTTGTTTGGATGCCAAGCCCGAGACTCCTTTCAATTCACCGTGCTTGTCCTCGTCTCCTCCACCTTCTCGCTTTCCCTCGTGGTTTCCTCCCCACCTGTCCTCTCACACGTCTGGGGCTTGGCCCAGCACCCGATAACGAACTCGAGTATCCCCGCCAGCGCTGCCACCATATCGGAGCGCTGAGCTTCCATAGCGACCACAAGCCGAATGCTGACCTTGCGGGCAGGCCACGCGCGGCCGCAGCCCTCGTCGCGGTGCGATGCTGGGGCCCTGGCGGTAGCTGAGTCAGCGTGGATTTACGCTACGTGCGCTCCTCCTCCTCCTCCTCTCCTCCTCCCTCCTCCTCCTCCCTCCTCCTCCTCCTCCTCCTCCTCCTCCCCTCCTCCTCCTCCTCCTCCTCCTCCTCCTCCTCCCCTCCTCCTCCTCCTCCTCCTCCTCCTCCTCCTCCTCCTCCTCCTCCTCCTCCTCCTCCTCCACCTCGGGGAAAGGCGCCAGAATCGAACAAACCATCTTGTCGGAGGTCTGGGGAGCCACCCAGCCCCGGAAGGGCTCGAAGACTCTTCGCCGCTTGCCCTGTGGGGCACCAGGCCGGAGACTTCGGGGCGACAGAGAGGCCGAGGCAGATCCAGGCAAGTCCAGGCGAGTCGAGCAAGGGGACCTTGGAGTAAGGCGTGGCCGCTCTGGCAAGAGTCTCATGGCGCCAACGTCGCAGAGCGGATTGCGTGCGGAAAACGGCGGGATGGGCCCGGGGTGTCCTGGAGAATTTCGTTCTGGATTTCGAGGTGAATTTCGTGCGGATTATTTTTTGCCAGGATTTGTTCTCATTGGCTCATGTCTTAATTCTAGACGCTTCGCGTATCCCCACCAGCCCGTCCAGAAATGAGTCCCAGGGGAGTGGAGGTTATGAGGGAAGCGGGGGAGCATGCAGAAGAACAAAGGGCGGGGTGAGCCGCCATATACCCCAAGAGGGGGAGGATGTAGGAGGAGCCGTCGTCGTCGGAGTAGGAGGAGGAAGAGGAGGAGCAGGAGGAGGAGCAGGAGGAGGAGGAGGAGGAATAGAAGGAGGAGGAGATGGAGGACTGCGAGGACGAGGAGGACGAGAAGGAGGAAAAGGAGAAGGAGGAGGAGGAGGAGGAGGAGGAGGAGGAGGAGGGGGAGGGGGAGGAGGGAGGAGGAAGAAAAAGAGGAGGAGGAGGAGGACAATGGCGAGCTTGGGGGCCTCTTGGGCCGTCTTTGGGGCCTCTTGGCGGTCCCGGGGGCCTCTTGCGTATCTCGGGGGGCCTCTTGTGGCCTCTTGGGGGTCTCTTGGGGGCCTCTTGGAGGCCTCATGGGGGCCTTTTGGGGCCTCTTGGGGCTCTCTTGGGGCGCTCTTGGGGCGCTCTTGGGAGCCTTCGAAGCGCTCTTGGGGCCATCTTGGAGGAGATCTATCAAAGAAGGGGGGTTCCCCAATTAGCGCTGCCCCTCTAGAGTGCCTCGAGTCGCCTCTTGGGCGCCCCAAGAGGCCAAAATCCTTCCAAAACCTAGGTAAAATCAATGTTTGTTGCTTTCTCGCCTTTTCGCTCTTGGAGCCGTCTTGGGTCATCTTGGACTCTCTTGGGGCCTCTTGGGGGTCTCTTGGCAACGTCTTGGAGGCTTCTTGGGGGCCTCTTGGGGTCTCTTGGGGCCCTCTTGAGGCGCTCTTGGGGCGCTCTTGGGAGCCTTCGGGGCGCTCTTTGGGCCATCTTGGAGGAGATCTATCAAAGAAGGGGGGGGGTGCTTATTAGCCCCGGCCCTCCAGAGTGCCTCGAGTCGCCCCTTCGACCCCCCCAAGAGGCCAAAATCTTTCCAAAACCTAGGTAAAATCAATGTTTTGTGTTTTCTCGCCTTTTCGCTCTTGGAGCCGTCTTGGGTCATCTTGGACTCTCTTGGGGCCTCTTGGGGGTCTCTTGGCAACGTCTTGGAGGCTTCTTGGGGGCCTCTTGGGGTCTCTTGGGGCCCTCTTGAGGCGCTCTTGGGGCGCTCTTGGGAGCCTTCGGGGCGCTCTTTGGGCCATCTTGGAGGAGATCTATCAAAGAAGGGGGGTTTCCTTATTAGCCCCGCCCCTCCAGAGTGCCTCGAGTCGCCTCTTGGGCCCCCCCAAGATGCCAAAATCCTTCCAAAACCTAGGTAAAATCAATGTTTTGTGTTTTCTCGCCTGTTCGCTCTTGGAGCTGTCTTGGGCCATCTTGGACGCTCTGACACCTCGCGACCGGCCCCGTCCAGGTCAGTGGGGAGGGGTAAGGGGAGGGGTAAACCCCTCCCCGAAGGGGAAGAAGGGGGTTGGCAGAGGAAACTCCCTAGACCACCTACGCCCTAAAGGGCTGGTGGGATTTCTCGCGCGCGAGATTCACTTCGTTTTTCACTCGCCGCTTCGGGGTTTCGCGTTGGCAGAAATCCACGCAAGAATCCGCTGCAGCTGTGCAAGGTCGGTGCAGCGACGAGCCGAGGGATGGCAGAAGTCGTCAAGCCTTAAGTCGGGCCTGTCCCTCTACAGGGGGAGTATCCAAAAATAGTCAGACATTAATGTGATGACGATTTTTTCATAGTTTGGAGCATTTCGGGAGAATGTTTTGAATATTCTTCATTTTTCGTCAAAAATCATCTTGAGTATTCTTAAGCTTGAGTATTCTTAATTTTTCGCCCAAAATCTTTTTGAGTAGTCTTAATGTTTGACTATTCTGAAGGATTCGCCCAAAATCCTTCTGTAGGGGCACAGGCCCGACCTAAGTCAGGCCCTTCGCGACCCGGCCGAGCTTTGGGGGAAGCGGGCCCTTAAGGAAACGGGCCCCAGGCCCTGGGGGTCACCCCTGGGGACGAGATCCTCCTCCCGCGCCGTGTTCTGACACGCTCGGGGCCCGGTGGAGGGCCCCAAGAAGCGCTCAGCGGCGCAAAGCCGCAGGTCGGCGCCACCCCAGCATACACACTATTCACTTCCACTATTCACTTCTAATCCTTCGAAGGTTCTTTGATTTTTTTGGGGGCCAAGGTCCTTTCATTCCTAATTGTTCTATCCTGGGCCTCTTTCTGGCAACTAGGGGGCCGGGAACAAGTAGAAAGAAGCACAAATAGAAATGAGCACAATTAGAAATGAACGACGTGTACCAATAATAAGTGTGAGTCGCCCCCCAGGGGCGGCGCGCGCGCCGAGACATCTTATCGCACATGCGTCGTGGCGGGCGCTTTCTGGCCACGCCGCGCGGGAAACGATATACCACAAGATGGTTGTACTCGATGTTCGAGTCGGACGCACGCCTCCAAGGAGGACGTGCAGTACTAGAATGTCCTTCTGCGTCCCATCAGGACCTCTCTCCCTCAGGACGTGCCCTGCGTCCGAGGGAGTCCCTCCCCCCCCTCGCGCGCGCCGGCAGGCTTCCTCCTCCTCTTCCCTCTCCTTGTCCTCATCATCCCTCTCCTTGTCCTTCTCCTGTTCCCAGGGTGCTATCACTCCTTGTCCTCCTCCTCCTCCTCCTCCCCCTCCTCCTTCCCCCCTACGCTCGTCTCCCCCTCCTCCTTCCAAGCCCGACCTGCGCCCAGTGGCCAGCCTCCCAGCGAGGCAGGCGCCGCGCGGCCGCGCGAGGCGGCCGCCTCGCGCCGCGGGCGCGGGGCTCGCCCGCAGCCACCGGCGGCCCAGGCTGCCGCGGGCCCTCCATCGGGGGCAGCGGCAGGGGGGGGATAGGCATAGGGTTAGGTCGGGCATGTCCCCCTACAGGCGGACTTTGGACGAAGAATAAAAGGTACCTCAAAGATCATCCAACGTGGTCAAACATAGTTCATCGTCCCCATACTGTTGTGATTCTTGTTGGGTGCTCCTCCTGTAGAGGGACAGGGTCGACTTGAGCACAGGGGGGAACGCATCGACCCCCGATCGCCCACCGATCGCCGACAAGGGGGCCCGAGAGCCCCAGCATCTGCCCAGGAAGGTGCGGCTTCGCCGTCGGAGGCCCATCGCCGATCCATCGGCCATGTACCGCCGAGGCCAGGTCGATTCAGGAAGGACAGAACCACGCAGACACAATGCGTCGTCGATCTTCGCAGAAGGCATGGGGACATGCGGGAAGGGGGGGGGAAGACAACAACCCAGAAAATATGGGACATCCTGCCATCTGTGTCTATTTCTTTCTGTGTCCCAGGGCCCTTTCATCGAGGCGTCCCCCCCCCCCCCGGTGCCAGTCCCCCCCCGGTCGTT